CCCATCTGATGGACGAGTTTGACTTAATGAATTACATTAAATTGAAGTATGTTATGTTATGTTACCGTAACTATTTAAATCTATTCAAATGTAACACCAACGGACATGGAGAACCTCAGGACAGAATGCAAATTCTTTTAGGTAATCCTCAGGCGTCCGCTGGTGGCATTTTCACTGTCTTGTAATTCTTTCGTGTTATATGCTCTGTATTGTAATTTCTATTTTGTTTATACATGTACCTGGAAATTAAATAAATATTTTTAAAATTAAAAAAAAAAATCAACAACATTTTTTTAGAGGCGTATCTACAAGGGGGAACGGGGGCAATTTCGAAAGAGAGAGAGAGAGAGAGAGAGATAGATAGAGAGAGAAAGAGAGAGAGAGAGATAGAGAGAGAGAGAGGTAGAGAGAGAGAGAGAGAGAGAGAGAGAGAGAGAGAGAGAGAGAGAGAGAGAGAGAGAGAGGGGGGTATATCAAAGGAGAGAAGAGGAAAGGCAGAATGGAAAAGGACAAGAATGGGACCCCCTCCCCAATAATTAGTGGCCTAGGAAAGTCGAATTTCACTTTCAGAGTAAGGCCGCCCCGTATTATGATCTTAGCCCCCTCAATGACAGTCTTCATGCTATACCACTGTCCTGTTGCATGCTATAATGTTTCCATTTTTCGATACTAGAATTTGCATATTATTAAAACACATACAATAACATCAATCATGCAGGCATTAGCATTTCTTATCAAATTGTGATGAAATAGCCCGAAATAATATGGATGTTACAGGCAGTTTCTTTATCATTAAGTGACACAGTGATCGTCAAATCATTCCATCAAACCAACTTCAAACCGAAGATAATTTAAAAAACAAGAACCTCGGCCATTCGATGTAATGTAATTTCTTGTTCGGTCTATATTGTCGATCAGGGCGTCGTTTCACGAAACCGTCATAAGTACAAGTTCGCCGATATCCTAATAAAACACGTGTATTAAATTTAACACGCGTTTCAATAGGACTTATAAACAGTCTTGTGAAACGACGCCCTGGTCTCGGTGGTCATCATCCGATGACTATCGAACCGTTACTCAAAATCATTATTGGTAAGTTTAGATTTAGATTGGCAATGATGAATACGCCTAGATTGTGACAACGAACATATATCTACCCAGCAATTGAGGTTGGATCACCCAGTAATGTCAAAAGCATCCATTCATTTTCCAGAGCCATATAGGCCTAATGTACACAAGCAGTGTTTGAATTATTCATATTTCCATCAAGCCTCCAAATTAATCCCAGGACATTAGGACTTTGAATTATTGATATTCCCATTCGCAGAAGACACGGTGGTACATATTTTGGTGATTTAACGCCCGGGGCAACTCGTCGTTATTATGTGCACGACATTTCGGGGGAGCTGTCACAGGTTATATGAGACTACCTATTTATATTACATGGGAATTGAAAAAAGGGTGTTTGGAATTAGGGCGTTGATCCAATCACAAAGATTGGGGGGGGGGGGGGGGCACCAACTTTTCCTTGTAGCTCCATCCAGATCCACGCCTTTACATTGAATTAGTCATAGCAATATCTCAGCCGTTCTTCTCTTTCGATCAAAGAAGGTGTTCCGGTGAAATTATAGAGTGTCGATTTAATCTCCACGATGGAGGGGGGGGGGGGGGGGCACACACATATCAACCGTTATCAATTTTTTTGATATGGTACAGGGACTGCCCCTAGCCCCCCCCCCCCCCCCACGATCGACATTTCTACATGGTATTATTCAGCGCAGAAATTAATCTACGTCACTTTTCAATGTCACAACTATTTTGCCAGGATGTTTCGAGGATATAGAACAGTGTGACGTCACATTAGCCAAGTTGTCAAGGTAGCTGTTTCCAAACAATTTTGTACTAAACAATGGCGTCGTGATCACACCAGCTCCAAACATTGAGTTCGCCCTACTCCAGACTTTTGTTTCAATGATGTTGCGGTGAATCTCATGCGCAGGCTCTGTTGTTTGGAACCAGTAACCGAGACGATGAGCGAATAATGACGTCTACGCTTTTCAATGCCAAAACTATTGTGTCAGGATGTTACGAGGATATAGATTACCGAAGTGCTAACGTCATATTCACTCACCGTCCAGGTAACTGGTTCCAAACAAGACAACAGTACAAAATTGTTTGGAACCAGCCAGTATGACGTCACACTTCGGTACTCTATAATGGTTTGAATAAGTTCAGGAAGTACTGTCGCATCCAACGCACACAATGGCCCGAATTCACAAAGCAAGGTTTGAGCTCAGACCAAGGTTTGAGCTCAAACCTCCTTTTGTTTCGCCAAACCTCCTTTTGTTATTTACAAACCTTTGTAAATGTGTAAATAACAAAGGGAGGTTTGGCGAAACAAAGGAGGTTTGAGCTCAAACCTTGGTCTGAGCTCAAACCTTGCTTTGTGAATTCGGGCCATTGTGTGCGTTGGATGCGACAGTACTTCCTGAACTTATTCAAACCATTATAGAGTACCGAAGTGTGACGTCATACTGGCTGGTTCCAAACAATTTTGTACTGTTGTCTTGTTTGGAACCAGTTACCTGGACGGTGAGTGAATATGACGTTAGCACTTCGGTAATCTATATCCTCGTAACATCCTGACTGCATGCTATAATGTTTCCATTTTTCGATACTAGAATTTGCATATTATTAAAACACATACAATAACATCAATCATGCAGGCATTAGCATTTCTTATCAAATTGTGATGAAATAGCCCGAAATAATATGGATGTTACAGGCAGTTTCTTTATCATTAAGTGACACAGTGATCGTCAAATCATTCCATCAAACCAACTTCAAACCGAAGATAATTTAAAAAAACAAGAACCTCGGCCATTCGATGTAATGTAATTTCTTGTTCGGTCTATATTGTCGATCAGGGCGTCGTTTCACGAAACCGTCATAAGTACAAGTTCGCCGATATCCTAATAAAACACGTGTATTAAATTTAACACGCGTTTCAATAGGACTTATAAACAGTCTTGTGAAACGACGCCCTGGTCTCGGTGGTCATCATCCGATGACTATCGAACCGTTACTCAAAATCATTATTGGTAAGTTTAGATTTAGATTGGCAATGATGAATACGCCTAGATTGTGACAACGAACATATATCTACCCAGCAATTGAGGTTGGATCACCCAGTAATGTCAAAAGCATCCATTCATTTTCCAGAGCCATATAGGCCTAATGTACACAAGCAGTGTTTGAATTATTCATATTTCCATCAAGCCTCCAAATTAATCCCAGGACATTAGGACTTTGAATTATTGATATTCCCATTCGCAGAAGACACGGTGGTACATATTTTGGTGATTTAACGCCCGGGGCAACTCGTCGTTATTATGTGCACGACATTTCGGGGGAGCTGTCACAGGTTATATGAGACTACCTATTTATATTACATGGGAATTGAAAAAAGGGTGTTTGGAATTAGGGCGTTGATCCAATCACAAAGATTGGGGGGGGGGGGGGGCACCAACTTTTCCTTGTAGCTCCATCCAGATCCACGCCTTTACATTGAATTAGTCATAGCAATATCTCAGCCGTTCTTCTCTTTCGATCAAAGAAGGTGTTCCGGTGAAATTATAGAGTGTCGATTTAATCTCCACGATGGAGGGGGGGGGGGGCACACACATATCAACCGTTATCAATTTTTTTGATATGGTACAGGGACTGCCCCTAGCCCCCCCCCCCCCCCACGATCGACATTTCTACATGGTATTATTCAGCGCAGAAATTAATCTACGTCACTTTTCAATGTCACAACTATTTTGCCAGGATGTTTCGAGGATATAGAACAGTGTGACGTCACATTAGCCAAGTTGTCAAGGTAGCTGTTTCCAAACAATTTTGTACTAAACAATGGCGTCGTGATCACACCAGCTCCAAACATTGAGTTCGCCCTACTCCAGACTTTTGTTTCAATGATGTTGCGGTGAATCTCATGCGCAGGCTCTGTTGTTTGGAACCAGTAACCGAGACGATGAGCGAATAATGACGTCTACGCTTTTCAATGCCAAAACTATTGTGTCAGGATGTTACGAGGATATAGATTACCGAAGTGCTAACGTCATATTCACTCACCGTCCAGGTAACTGGTTCCAAACAAGACAACAGTACAAAATTGTTTGGAACCAGCCAGTATGACGTCACACTTCGGTACTCTATAATGGTTTGAATAAGTTCAGGAAGTACTGTCGCATCCAACGCACACAATGGCCCGAATTCACAAAGCAAGGTTTGAGCTCAGACCAAGGTTTGAGCTCAAACCTCCTTTTGTTTCGCCAAACCTCCCTTTGTTATTTACACATTTACAAAGGTTTGTAAATAACAAAAGGAGGTTTGGCGAAACAAAAGGAGGTTTGAGGTCAAACCTTGGTCTGAGCTCAAACCTTGCTTTGTGAATTCGGGCCAATAAGTCCAAATGTTAGTTTTACTTCAATTAACAGTGCTTAGTGGGGAAAGCGTACTTAAATTTGTTTGTATGTTGTTGTTGTCATTTTTTTGGGGAGGGGAGGGCGCTACCCAATTGTCTCAATATTATTTGATCGTAAATATAACCTCATATTTATTTTACAACGCTCAATCCTATTTAGCATACTCCAATGAACATGCACACTTATTTTTGTATACAGTTGTTAATAATTGAATCTTCTCGGAGAGAACACTTGTCATTGGAAACATAATTTCGACATTTTGTTTACTTCTAAACTTAACATTTTAACGAGTCAGACACACAAATCGCTCTAGATTAAAGTGTTTCTTGCTTTTTGAACCAATGTCCACTTTGTCACATCTTTCTTCATCGGATCACCTCCCTGATCGGATACGCTCTTGTTTTCACTCATTATGTTACTCGAATATACAAATATATACAAATATACACGAATATACACGAATATATACAAATATAAAAGGTGGACATCGACCGAACTAAGAGACTCAGTTCTTCATCTCTCGATTCGGCCAATGTCCACTTTGCCACATCTTTCTTTTTTGGATATGCGTCTATCTTCAGTCACTATGTCATTCGTATCTGAATGTCCGTGAGATGAAGGTGTATCCACAGAACAATTGTCGGTTTCCCTATCATTCTCCTGCGGCGTTTCACTTGGCGTGGAGACTACAGGTTGATCAGGGCCTTCAGCTGTGCAGCTCGTCGGGTGAGACGCTGACGATTCGGCCACACCAAGCCGCAAGGACATCTCCGGATTCTCAGCATCATCTGCAAATGTCCGGTGTGCCTCATCATCGTTCGCATCATGAGAAGGGTAGGAATTTGAATTGTTAGCGTTACCCGGGTACGGTGTGGAACAACCATTACCATGGATATAGTTTTCGAGCTCATCAGGAGGTTTCGCCGATGCGTAATTGAGCGAAGAGATGACGGGATCGCGGACGAAGCTGTCCCTAGATGACCGATCGCTAGAAGGTGAAACACTTCCACTACCCGAAATCGCAGTTTCGTCAGTCAACTGTCTAGAAACCTCTGGCGCATCTATTTGTAGTACAATTCTTCCATCTTTAACACTCGACCCACGGTTCACTGAGGACTTCTTTTGACCGTCTCGCTTCTCTTTGTAGGATGTTTCTGAAGGTGTTTGTTTTTGCTCGTCCTGGGAACCGAATCTTCGAGAGGCCGAAGAGTCGCAAACTTGTTCAGCCCTCTTCTGGACGTGAGCCAGGGTCATTCTGCGTAGTTCCTGCGCCGTGTTGCGGTGAGGCTGTCTCAGGATGATGTAGCACTTTGGGAAATAGAGGAACCCCATGAAGATCCAGGGGCTTGCCACCAGGATAGCGTTCTGGAAGAGAGCCTTCATGCTGCCGCTGGAGAGGAGGAAGCACATGAAGCTGAGGAACCACATCAGGAGGCTGAACCCCATACTCTTCGCGATCAGACGGGCTTCTCCAAAGTTTTCCGGAAGATGACGGGCTCTATACGCGAGCACGAAGGCAAGGACAACGATCACCCAGTTGTAAAGCCATTGGACCGGTAGAGCCAAAAGTCCGTAGTTGCACTCGACGTACGTTATATGCGGGACATGGCTATCAATGTACGACACACCCGGTGGCGCAAACAGGAGATAAACCGCCACAGCCACAGCCTCGATCAGCACAAGAACGAGAACGGCTAGAAACTGAAGATGGCGCTGCAAGAACAGGTTGCTGTGCATCAGGTCCGGCAGTTTGGCCTCGAAGATGGACAACACCCCTTTGGTCTTGACCAGGTAGATGGACGCGATCATCGTGATCATGGGTCCCTGGAGACCCACGTGGACCATGCACTGCTGGACCGTGGGGATCCCGATGTGGAGGATCGGGGCAACTAAGGCCACGGTGGTGCACACGAGGAGAAGGAGACTCAACTCGCTGTTCGCTGCCTTGACGATGGGCGAGGCGTGGTGGTAGGCGATGACGCCCAGAACGATGAGGTTCACGAGGATGCTGAAGGAACAGACGACGATGTAGACCAAGGCCGGAATGGAGTCCCATCGGAGGAAGTCCAGGTACCGAGGCTCGCAGGACCCTAAAGTGACGTTGAACCAGTAACCTTGAGGGCATTTCTCACATCGCATGGAACCTTAAGATAATAAAATACAAAATGAAGATTAGATTATTTTCCCGACGCTGTACGATCATGGCAGATTGATCTTTTAAATGCATACATTTAAAAGACATAGATATTACTGTATCAACTATCCATGTGCTAAAATGTGTATTGCAGTCGATTCATAGTATATAAGTCATTACTTTGTGGGGGAAGGGTGAGCACCCCACTTAGAAAATGACAGCGAAACCGTGCCTTCTCATCCGCTACAGTTTCACTGATACACGCTTATGATCTCAAAACATTTTGCGCCTAAAACTTAACTTTGCTCATACTACTGCCAATGTCCAGGAACCCTTCTTTTCTGCGACCTCTCATCTCTCCCACCTTTTCACACTCTCTCTACCTCTCTTCCTTAATAATAATAATAGCTAGTTCTTATATAGCGCTTTTCAAGACCGAAGGCCCTCTCAAAGCGCTTTACAGATATATATATTATTACCCCGGTCATAGGATTCAGGCTTACCCGCACACAATGTATGCACATTCTCCACTCCCTGGGGAGCATTCCAGCCAGGCGTCTTTTTTACGAGCGCACACTTGCTAATCTAACCACATTAGCTTTCGCATCCTACCGGTACCCATTTAACACCTGGGTGGAGAGTGGCAAATGTAGATCAATGTCTTGCCAAAGGACATTAGTGCCGCGGTGGGACTTGAACCGCGAACCTTATGATCCACAGTCCGGTGACATATCCACTCGTCCACGACACCTCTACACCTCTTCCTTTCGCCTCATTTCCCATCTCTATTTCTCTGTCTCCCACTCCATCTCTTTCTCTCCTCCTCCTATCTCTAACTGTTCTCCTCCTTTTCTCAATCCATCTTTCCCTCTCCCATCTCTTCACTTCCCCTCTTTTTCTTTGAGTATAGGTGCTTTATGAAAGGAAACTTGTGTTATAACTTTGGTTTCAGTTCAATGAAAATCAGAATAATTAAAGAAAAACCGTGGAAGTGCTAATTGTTATTTCCAATATTGCTACACAATTTCATTTAAATTTTTCCTAGAACCAATTGTCATTTAGGTTCCCCTTTACACAGTTATATCGGATAGGAAAGTAACATTTCCCGTCAGTTCGACAAAATCGAGCACGCCATTTTCATTTACTGGGTGTAAGCCAAAAATGTGTTTAAAATAATTGAAATTTCTCCCAGGAAGCATTACGTTTATACAACAAATAGTCCATGTTTAATATGTTTCATTTTTAATATTTCTCCCAGGAAGCATTACGTTTATACTAAGTTCATGTTTAATATGTTTCATTTGTTAATATTTCTCCCAGGAAGCATTACATTTATAAAAGAAATAGTCCATGTTTAATATGTTTCATTTGTTAACATAAAAAGAGTTTGTAATACCAGGAACTTATAAAATTCAGAACATCGGGTTGATTCCCGACTAACCAATAATTCTCATCAGGGGCGTACGCAGGGGGGTGGTTTTGGGGGTTCGAACCCCCCCTTTGGTATTTTTATGTGTGTAAACCCCCCTAAAAAAACCTAAACCCCCCCCCCCCCTTTGGATTTTTTTTTTTTTTTTTTTTTTTATTATTTAAAAAAAAAAAAAAAAAAAAATATATGCCCACGGCTAACCTAAAAAAGGTGACCTTACCCCCCCTCCCAACGAAGAAAAATGTCAAATTTTCAAATTTCGAGACCAAAAAAAAAAAAAAAAGTGTCCGCTAACCCCCCCCCCCCCCCCCCCCCCCCCCCCCCCCCCACTGAGCGACTTTTTGGCTGGTTGAGTCGTTGCGATTTTTTTTGGACTCGAAAAAAAAAGTGTCCGCTTAACCCCCCCCCCCCCCCCCCCCCCCCCCCCCCCCCCCCCCCCACTGAGCGACTTTTTGGCCGGCGCGATTTTAAATTTTTTGGGAGCAAAATATTTTGGGCCCGATTTTAAACCCCCCCCCCCCCCCCCCCCCCCCTTGAAAAAATCCTGCGTACGCCCCTGATTCTCATATCATCATTCTGTCTCCAAAGTTGGTGTCTTTGATTTCAGGAGAATAAGAAAAGAATGAGTATCATGAAAAAGTTGTCTTTTTCAGTTATTGCTCACGATATTCAGCATATGTGCATGTGTATGTGGATGTGCATGAGCCAAGTAATATCGGGTACACTGGATTGGATCCACGCAGCAGTCTCTGGCAAGAGGGGGGGGGGGGGAGGGATTCTATGACAAGAAAACGAAAACAGAATATTTTCCCATACTACCTTCTCCTTTAACTTTAACCCTCTTTTGGGGGCAGGGGGAGGGGCGCTGGAGGAACTATCCCCCGTGCCCCCGAACCGCCACGGATTATACGTCAAGCTTACCATCAGAAGTGAAGTTGAGGTTTCCCTCGCAGTACAAACAGAGGAAGCAGCAGGACGGTTGCCCTGGCAACGAGAAGCGGGAGTGGGAGGATGGGCAGGTCACAGAGCAATGGCTTTCTGGAATCTGAGAAGAAAAGAAAGATGAAAGTAAGCATCAAGGGGGAGGTTTATAGGTAGGATTACAAAGAAAGTAAATAGAAAAGGGAGGTAATAAACAAATAAAGGGATGTATAAGACGAGAGTCGTTATGGATATTGCAAGGATTTTAAGCAGATTATCGATTAATGTACTAAAATGAGAGAACGAGAAATGAATGGAAATGACGCCTCGTGCAACGGCATAACCATGATTTGCTCTTGATCTTTAGAGATCATTATGCAAGATCCCCTCAATATATATTTACCCTATTATGCTACATGTCTACTTGAAGTGTGTGTGTATGTGTGTGTGCGTGTGTGTGCGTGAAATTGTGTGTGTGTGAGTGGGGTTGTGGATGTGTGTGTGCGTGTGTGTGTGCGTGTGGGTGTGTGTATGTGTGGGTGTGAGTGCGCCCTAGTGTGTGCGTGTATGTGCGTGTGTGTAAGGGTAGGGGTGTGTGTGTGCGTGCGTGCAAGTGTGCGTGAGTGTGTGTGGGTGTGTGGGTACTCTACTTTTCCTAGACACTGAAAATAATTATGTTACTTACTCAAGGTCTCTGTACACACAAAGAGTGCTTATTTAGGCTGGTTTATGGGACAGGTGCAATGTCCGAATAAAGTTCATCATGATTTATTAAGGAGGAAGTTATCAACATGAAACCGATACAGACAATGTTATTATTAAGAATATCCCAATAAAATAAATATGTCATTTTGTAAGCGAACAAAGAAAGCTTCCTTCTCTGTTGCTATTGTATTTCAAAACTTCGCTCACATAAAATTCCCCCTCGCAATGCACGATGCGGAGGACCTTGTGGTTTATTATCGATGAATTGAAACCGATAGAAACACAATAATGATCAGTTTCATCGATTAAAGATTATCAAGGGGATTCCCGATCAATCTATCCATCTAAGGCTTGTCACGTGTGGTACAATTAATGTCTGATTGTCATAAGCCTAGGTTAGGTGTGAATTAGCTTTTGGTTTCATATCAACGATCTGATCCCTTTATATCAAAACCAGAGTGTTCATTTAAATAAAGCAGCACACAGTAACCTAAAAGGGAGTGGACCTAGTTTGAGATTGAGAAATGATAAGTCATACCCAGGATAGGAAGAGTCTGTTATCTCATGAAGTCATGTGAATTTAAAGATGTTCGCTTCACCTTATACGCCTTCATTCGTATGTGTGTGTGGGGTGGGGGAGGGGGTTTATAGTGAGTAAAACTTTGATTATTTTGTGACGGTCTACGAAATTACATCATATCCCACTTGCAACGAGAGTCATCTCAGACTTATGTCACAATTGAATTTTTGAAGGGGAGGGGAGTGGGGGAGGGGAGTGGGTGGGGGGGGGGGGAGGGGTCTGATTCCTAAATCTGTGGCCAAAAGCTTATTATTCATTTTCGTTATCAATTGGCTAAAACAAATTCTCCGACAACATTTAAACAAAAAGAAGATCATCATCAATAATAACAACGACGACGACGTCGACAGCAACAGCCAAAATAACTTCAAAAGCAATAACTGTACGTAGAGTACGATGCTGAGTTTCTTCGAGACCGTATAGCGTCGTACGGTGTTGAATTGGATGAAAGAAAGAATAATTAACTAGGGATACTGCTCTTGGGATACCAGCTACGATCAAAGGAATGCAATTTCATCAGTTCATCTGGTGTTGTTTTAATTGATCTATATAACCTCAAATTGTTTGCAGATGACGTCCAAGAATCAATTAACGGTTCGGCGTTATAGGGCCGTGTGAAACGAAGACGGAAATAATCTTAATTACAATATTTGTGTGGGACTGCGACTTGAGTGTTTCAATCAAGGAAGGTTTAGTGGAAGAAAGGGAAATTCCATTATATTCTGACATTATGAGGAAAAGGAATACACACAATATAATCATAGAAAAAGGAAAGAAGCATTTTGGAGCAGTTTTGTTTAGGAAATTCCATTATAGTCTGACATTATGAGGAAAAAGGAAAACACACAATATAATAAGTTATTAGAAAAAAGAAAAGTATTTTGGATCAGTTTTGTTTGGGAAATGTACCTTCTATTTTTAGATTTCGAACACAATTCTAAATTGTATATCGATTTGAGATGTGATTTTTGACAAGGAAATATTAGTTTAAAAATAATTGAGCTTATTTTACTAGAAAACAAAACAAAATCAAGTTTTACTCATCATCACATGATTGATATAATGGATAAAAATAGCATGGATGATTAAAGAAAAAAGTAAATTGTCGAATTGAGAATATATAAACAAGTCATGAATTGTTAAATTAAATAAGATATTACATATTAATGACTGTTTTTGTTTGATAGAAAACAAAGACATAATACATTAAAGCTAATCTTGAGCTCTGGTATGGGCATCGCATTTCGAGAGAACATGGCTATAATTCATTCTGGATTGTTTATCCTGCATTAGATTCATTTTTTGAACTAGTTAAATGAAAACAACCACACTTAAACTTGCTGGAAATCATCTTCAATAAAAATCACAACTATGATTTGCACATAGGTGTCGGGCCTACTTACCTAGATTTCCTTATATATCTATGCTCATTACTCAGCCCCTATACATTTTCTACCAAAATCGTTTGGCACATGACTGTCATTTATTTATAATCTTGAACACTCAGTGTAAATAGTGTCGGATTTGTGAGAATTTATTTTCTATAATTACCAGAACTAACATGTATATATAATATTATATTGATATGAATGGAATGATTGAAAGCATACGAAATGGTATAAGGCAATAGAAGAAAGTCGAGAAAAGGCAAGAGAAAGATCAGATGAAAAATATGTCACAAAAATGATACCGCATAGGAAAAAGATTATGAAAAATATTAAAAATGTTAAAACTACATAAAATGTCCTTCTCATTCTTTACCTAACATAAATTTCATGAGGTATTGTCTATCATATTATAACAAATTGACAAATCATACAAAAATAACTAAACACAAACCCACTTTTGCCACCAATGCTCAAATAATAAACTATTTTTAATATTTATTCACCAAAAATAGATTCTTGGATCAAATTCATTCTTACAATTCTGACGAGGTAGAAATTTTAGGGAATTTTTTGTTATCGAGTCGATCTCTTTTGATGTCCTTATATGGTAAACTCTATGGATCATTGATGGTGTGATCACGTGACTTCTCTCCATCAAAAGGAATATCAATTATCTCCGCCATGGTAAGTAGTTTTGATTAGCGCGCGATGTATCCTTTATATCTAAAGGATTTTTCAAGAGGTTGGAAAGAGGGGATTTTCCACATCTACGCTATACTTCCTTCTTGAATAGAGTGGCGTTCAGATTGTATGCTAATGAGGCTATGATTGTAGGTCTTGTAAACGAGGAAATTGTATCCCTTTTTGGAATTGCAAACACTTACAGGGAGCATAAGATGCATTTGAAAGCATATACAATAGTAGAACCAAGGAGTTTTAACAACTGGAGCCATATCTAGCTCATTCCCTTTGCAACATTATGGCGGCATCGAATATGATATTCGATGCCGCCAAGAGAAAATATGTCAGGCATGTGCTTATCAGGATCTTCCTAGCAGATACGTAGATAAAAGATTCCTGCCTATAGCTACAAACTAACGGGCCACTTTCAAAGGGAAATTTGCTTTTGTAATGATAATTACTTTTCGCTACCACTCGTCTGATTATACGAGCAGTTCACAGTGCTTACCTTTAAAGGAGGCAAGCGAAAGAAAATAGAGCACATTTTCCTGAAATATTAATCAAATTTCCTCGACTGGGCATTTGTGGGCACTACTCTGACATATAACATCATAAAGAGCTGTACATGAATTAATTCACTTTTTATTTTCGTGTGCCAGAAGTAATCGAAAAAAGTGTCAAATTGCAGGTTTTAGGATTGTAAAATGTTATTGTTTTTTCACAAATAAAAACTGCTATTGTACAATGCAATCAAATTTCTTGACATGATTAGCTATTTGCATCCATACTTTTGCATCCATACATCATCTGTTCGATTTTCCCTTGTTATTAAAAAAAAATCACTACGCAAGCTTTCCAATGATGTTGACGGCATCGAGCCTCGGACATCAAAGGTAACAGCACACCTGTAGATCCTATTGGGCAACCTTTGAAAACGGTAGCTGCTTGAAATAGTTTGTTGACAGTTGGAACTCCGGCTCTTAACACTCCTTGGTAGTACCGGGATCGCAACTATTGTCGGAAAATTAATCAAGGGCAATTTCAACACCATATTGTATGTCATTATCACGTTCGCACATTTCAATAGGTGACGCACACGACTATTGAAATTGCCGAAGGTCGATTTTTTAAAAATGTATTTGCTATCGTGTTTGATAATGATTTCCCCAAATATTATACAAATAATACACATCAGTGAGGGCATTAGGGTAATTTTACTAATTTTACCCGAACAAAATAATGTGTATTATTTGTTTTATAAGATTATGTTTTATTTGTTTAATAAAATGATGTTTTATAACATGATTTTACTAATGACCGGTCATTATCCAAATTACGCGTTAGGCAAAATAAATGCCTGCTCACATGTACGCTTTCAACCAATCATTTGATTAAGATCCACGTCATCATCTTATAAAGCCTTCTGACGAACCAATAATTATGTGAGAAGGATAAGGGCAAGAATCCTATTCTCATCTTGCTGGTAATTCCAAATGAAAGTGAATATGATTCCAACATCGGTAAATACACACGTGCCCTAACGATCAATGTAACTATAGTATTCCAGTGTAATGCAACCAGTGTATAAATAAATCTGTGGCATAATTCGTATCCCTTTCACATTTATATTTACATTTTTTCTCAGTCCTTCGTCATGTTGCAACCTCATGACTGAGGTGAGTTGAATGTGTGCAACCCACATACAGCTTTGCGAAGGATACACGTAATACTAATAATATCTGAACTTTGAACAAGTCTGAATAAATCGTTTATATTTTCTTTCGTCAAATCATACATTTCGACAAATAAATCGTAAATGATAAAAAAGAGCATTATTTTGGCTCCGTATACCATGACTTACCTTTTCCTTGCCCAATGGCCAGATCACGAGATCATCGTCGACAAGAACCATTTCCGAAGAAAGACCATTCTCCATATATCGCCCTATGAGCACACTCCCTCCTCCACTGGTATTTGTCTCGTTCCCAGATGATGCGATCCGCCCCGCCCTGATGTCATATCCCCATGGCAACTCACTCATCCTCCCGTTCATTCCAAGCTCACCACCAAACCTGTTCATTGAATGGCTCTCGTTTGTTGATGGGAGGACCTCCCGCGTCATAACGTGGTCGAACCTCGATGTCGACGAGCACGACGAGTTCGGGGTATTAGAAGACGCGCAGGTAGCGTGGTTTTCTATCATCCGGACTGCCATGTACATGTCGACGCGTTCTACTTCCTGCGAAAACTCCACTGTCCCGTTCTCGACCCCTTGGCAGATCGTACCAGCACGACGATGAAACCATGGATGACCACGAGAGGAGCAGTTCGATCTCCTCGAACACCAGTCGATCAGGAAATCATCGAGGCTTCCCCGTAGCGAGTACAATGTCGGTGAGATATGGAGTGTCCAGCCATCTCCTGCGATGTTTTGATGTCCATGGTCCAAACTGGCCAAGATCCATACCCGATCTATAATATAGAAACAATTGATAAAAATATCCTAATTGAAAAAAATAAACTTTGTGAAACCGACAATTCGTTTTATAAATGATAAATAAATTATTAACTAAATCTTTACTAAAAAAAATTCTGACACAATATTATTGTGGAAAATATTTTAAGTTTTCATTTAAAGATGAGGTTGAATGAGCGATGCTAAACCATAAACAGGGAGCAAGTGCTCCTTCCCTAAAATTTGAATGGGAACAAATTGACGGAGGAAGAGGAAAAAAGATATTTAAAAAGATGGAAGGGGGGGGGGGGCTTGAAACATAACAAATGGTCTTGTTAATATACGTTTCATTGACGTTGCCCAAAATAAGACTGGTGACCCCACCCCTCTACCCCCGATGCCGGTGCACCGGTAAGGCCAGAACCATGTGCTTTAGACCTTGGCTTGAGAAATGTCTTCAAGTCAAATGACTGGAAGAAACGATTGTGACTTAAGAATTGTGCAGGTGTTCAGTTTTCTTTTCAGTTTTATTTGTAAAAGCACTATTGCAATACTCCTCAGTAGAGTGTGGAGTGGGGAGTGTGTTATATATAAGAAGGTGCAAGAATCTTAATTGAATCCGGTCACCAGGGTAACCGATCGGTACCCTTGTAACTGGTTTAAAAGAGGGAACACACTTTATATAGATAGTTTCAGAAATGCACTCAAACGATATTTTCTCCAGCATTATGAACAATGACTCATTGACAGCTCTTTCAAATGATTATTTTTGTTAATTCTTTGTTGCTCGCTTTTTCATCTCGCACCCGGGGCTACCATGTCTAGAGAATTTACCAGTCCCATCTTACTCTATATATTACTACTATATTCTCTCTCCTTCGCTTTACTTCTCGCTTCATGTCTCCACCTCTCTCTCTCTCTCTCTATCCATCTACCCACCCACCCAACGTTACATCTATCTATCTACCCACCTATCCATCTGTATATCCTTTTCTCTCTCTCCCTCTATTTTTCTCTCTGTACCACTTCTAGTCGCTGTAACATGGTGTATTTTGATTCATTTCTCTTTTTTGTCTCAGTTTATGTGTATTCTGTTTTTTCCTTCTGCATATTAAGCCAGTAGTTTAATTCACTGAACCTACAAGCAAACAAGTCGTGTAAGCACGTTCATTTTTTTTTTTATTTCACAGAACATTCTTTCATGTTATTAATGACTATGATTCAGGATTATTTATTTCCATATTACCTAAAGAAATGTTAATCTTTTGTAAAATGTATTTGTTATTTTTGAATGAAAAATGAATTAAAAACAACCAATTAATGAAAGTGCTTTATAAGAAATATTAAAATGACATAATTTGTCTTGTTTATCCAGGGTAGCCTCATCGGTATTAATAATATTTTCCCTGAGGGCCTTCCAATCATATTATTACCCCGGCTTTAGCCGAGCTATCATGAAAAGACGCTCAAGCATTCAAGGAACTTCTTCCTACTGGGTACCATTCGCCTCACCTGGGTGGAGTGTGGCAAATGTATATCAATGTCTTGCCAAAAGACATTACTGCTGCGATGGGACTTGAACCGCGAAACACGTGATCCACACCCCGGCCACGTATCCACTAGACCACGACACCTCTGGGTCATTGGGTCATTTCAACATCACAATAAAGCAAATACGTATAAAAAGGAAACGATGGTTTGTTATTCTGACAAATCAATTTCTTCTCGAAATCCTTCTGGTGGTCATTTCCTGCTGTCATCCTGGGCTGCGTCTCACGAAACCGTCATAAGTACAAGTTCACCGACATCCCATTGAAATGCGTGTATTAAGTTTAACACTCGTTTCAGTGGGATGTCGCTCAACTTGTACTTGTGACGGTTTCGTGAGACGCAGCCCTGATGCGGAACTGGATATTCATCAATCAGGAATTGTTTATGTTCGAGTGGAAAGATTTTAATACATTTCCCCAAAAATAGGTTTCACTTCCAAAAAACATGAGACCTAACGAACTTCAAAGCCAACTTTATTTTTTTGGTTCTTTTCAAATGAAAGATATAATTTCCACCGTTTAAAAATAATAGAAATTATTTTTTTTTAAATTAATCATCGTGATTTTAATCAACCTGTTTTGGAGATGCTATTTTTAAATTTACACCTTGTTTTTTCTGATACAAGGTTTATTTCAAATATCGTAAAAGCCTTATCTCATTCACTGCTTTTCAAACAATATATTTAGGATTGTTTCGCCACTTTGGGGGAACCTATAAATCTGTTTTCTGTGAATGCAATTTTAGGCCTCTTCCTCTTTTCTGACTACTTCTCTAAATTGTAACAGAGAAGGGTTATAAATCATGACAACTCTTAAAAACTTCTTTAAATCACTCCGTGTATTTTTTAAAATAGAACCGACGTATAATCAGTCCCCTACCGTTTTTATGAATCGGGAGTTTATTGCACACATCCTTCCTATGCACAACACAATGATACTTCCCACTAATGTTGATATGAATATTTGATTTACAAACAAAAATAATAGAAAACCAGACAACAAAATCCGAAGAATCCGGATTAAGGACAAAGTCCCGAAGTGGACGTTTGCAGTGTCCTCACGAACCTTTGGACCATATACCGGACACGAAACATGTTGGTTTCTTTGGAGTTCATCAAGATCCGGATAATGTCCTCATTTTCAAGGAATAACAAGTAGACTATCAGAGTAATATTGTAGCGGTCGAAGGGTGTTCGAACACACTTACTGGAACTGTAAACCACATACACACAAACAGAAACTAAATGTCAGATCAAGACAGTATGATATTCCAACTCGGTGGTCAGTTGATCAAGGATCTGTACAAGTGATTTTCGAAGAAAAATACACTGAAGAAGAGAATGGAGAAGGAAGTTGCGTATTGGATAAGACAGATTGCGAGAGAGGAGAGAAGGAGGAGAGAGAGGAAGTAGAGAGGAGGGAGGGAGGAGAGATGAGGGAGGGAGGACAGGGAGGAAGAAGGGGCATGATTGGGATGACGGGGTGGATTACCCCTTCCCGAATAACAACAAATTTTCATGCAAATTCATCTCAAATTACACTTTGAGTTGAACCAAAAATGAACTTTAACCTAAATTGTGTCCAAAGATCGTTCTGTACTGAGGCAACTACTGTGTGAATAACGTGAGAAAGACTGCACTATGAAAGATCACAATACGTTTTTGATGTACCATTATTATTTTAAGCATCAAAATCATATTTCAACATGTTCTCTCTAGTATCTCATTTTGAGTTACTTTAATTTTGTATTCTCTCATCAAATTTTCATTAACTAATATTATCGACTTATCACCTTGGGGATACGGGAACAGTTATGCGAAGAAATGGAAAAGGGGTTTTCAATCTTGCCGGAATATAATCCTTTCATGTTCTCTAATCTGCGATCGATTTAAGAAATTCATAAATTCATGGTTTTAAAAAAATGGATCTTTAGAATGGATCAGCAGGACCTGGTGTAACCATTAATAAGACGAAAAGTGCTCAACGACAAAGTAAGCTCAAGAGCATTTCAAGAAAGATATTACCTCGAATTGTAAAGTATCTAAAAGTAATTTATTCATCGAAGTATGAGTCACTTAATATTATGAAATGAAAAGAGACCATTTTTTTCTTCTCTGCAACTTAGCCCCCGTTTCGCACGCTATAGCAATAACAATTTGAAATATCAGCGAACCGTCTATTATTCAATTGTAAATCTACAAAATCCCCTTAACGTGAAAGAGTCCATTTATATTGCAATCGTCACTGAACATGAACAATTCCCATTTTAATGCATTCAAATCAAACAAATACAGTTATAAATCGCATGATTGAACATAATTGACAACATGTTTTCATTCGAATGTTAAACTTGCGTTAACTCTTTAAATGTTGGGGGATTTTCTGGAAAATTTCGACTCGAATGATTATTGCTAAGTTAGTGTATTGAAACAAGGATATCGTCACTGCATGCAGAAAATGTATAGCATAAACTTGTCGTAATGCATATCCGGACAGTTACCCTGATTGTCACCCCGGACAACTTCCTACTAAACAACTACCCCCGTGAGAAGTACCCCGGATAACTACACTTGGGACACTAAGTTTGTATGAGTTCGCCTGACAACTGCCACTTTAACAAGATTAAATACCCTGATTAAATTTGACTTTTTAGGGGCTGATCATATTTCGAAAGTTGTTCAAGGTGTATTGTCCTAGGAGTAGTTTCCAAGTAAGGTAGTTCATAATGATGATAGTGATAATAATAATAATAATAATAATAATAATAATAATAATAATAATAATAATAATAATAATAATAATAATAATAATAATAATAATAATAATAATAATAATAATAATAATAATAATAATAATAATAATAATAATAATAATAATAATAACAACAATAATAAATGATAATGATAATAATATTCTCGGTTTAAATAGCGCTTAAAACATCAATGATGTTTTTTGTGCGTTTTAATGATATATTATTGCCCCAGTCATCGGATTCATGCTTGCCCGCAAACAATGCATACACATTATCCACTCTCTGTGGAGCAATCCAGCCGGGCGCCATTTTACAGACGTTTACAATGCTGAGAACACTATTCGTATCATACCTGCTACCCATTAACACCTGTGTGGAGAATGGTAAATATAATATGGGTAAAGGCTTGCTAAAGGACGTTGGTGCCGGGCTGGGAATTGAACCACCAGCCCTTGGATTGAGGGTCAAGAGAATGAACCACTATACCACGACATATCTGACGTCCAGGGTGAAAAGTCCAAGGGTGGAAGAATCGTAATTGTATACCAACTTTAAACATAAATTAAACGCAAAATCATTGCTAGGCTGGGATTCGAACCATCGATCCTTGGATTGAGGGTCAAGAGAATGAACAACTATACCACGACACTTACGAAGTCCTGGATGGTAGTTCAAGGGTGGAAGAATCGTAATTGTATACCAACTTTTTAAAAATTATTCCTCTCTATAGCGTCTGTTTTCTTTATCATTTTCTGCCTTTCCCTGATTTCGCTTTTTTGTCTGTTTAGCATTATAAAGCACATTAAACAATATTTTATTGGAATTTTCACCAGCTATAACATTATGCGTATTTATGTATGTATGCCCATAACAATAGGGAACGAGGTCACTTCGACTGCCTGAATTATGAGAGATTCTGGTTGACTTTTAGGATGAATAATTGTCCTATAAAATTTACCTGGAAACATGGTTTTTATCTCATCCAGTATTCCGATAGAATTTGATTCTGCAACAAACGCGACGAAAACCTTAGCAGTCGAATTTTGTATTTTAGCCTGAATTCGGAGTCTTTCATCCAAAAAGTAGTCCCCAGTCAAACTTTTCTTGACGGGAATCTTGATATCGATACACACGTTGTCTTTTGTTTCCAATCTCATTTCCGCGGTTCTCATAAAAATTCGTCCCATCTCGTCATCCATAGTTAGAAAACTAACCCATGACCATCCGAAATGGTCAATAACTTCGAGAACCGTTTCAATAAGGGCTTCGTGCGATGGCGCCGAATAATTAACGATAGAATGCCGAGTTTTATATTGGAAATCGGTTACGTAATGCGATGAAGATAGGCTATAAAAGGGGATATCCAGGTTCTCTGCTATCTCCAATAATGCATGTGTAAAGAGTGGTGGAAAAAAATTGGCGCCAAGAATGACGAAGGGATTTTGTATGTTTCGCAGAAGAACGCGAATGTCGTCTGCTCGAAGTGATGAGTCGTTTGTACACAAACACGTATGGATGATGGCGTAATCTGTTATTGATGCGTTGGATTGCGAAGGATAAAGTATGATTGCTTCTCCGATCGCGTATTCAATATTGATGGCAGAATGTACAACATTTTCGATGCACTTTTCCTGAGATTTTCCATCACCGGAGAGAATGGCGACTATGTTTATATCTCCATCTGGCATCGTAAAGTTCCCCTCCTCTGATGTAAAACAGAATTCGAAAGTATCCAAATAACACGATAAACCCAAATCTCCTTTCGTGTCCAAGAGAGCATTCACCACAGATAGAAGAGAATAAAACACAAGTGTCCACAAGCGAGACATTTCGCTTGATAGTTTGTTCTTTGCGAGAAAAGAAACGACGATTAACAAAAGAACTTCTTTTCAAAGTGTCCACGAGTATCTGTGATCGTTGAATCACACTTTTCACACCCACCAAAATGATCTTCATTCAAGAGTTGACATCTTAAAACGATGACTCTGTCTTAATCCGTCTATATAAGTCTTCGGCAGATGAAGAATTTATTAAATAACTGCAAGCTGAGTAAGGCATTGTGCCATTATCTTGAACTAGTAGTGCATTAAATGCTATCGGACGAAAGATATTGTTCATTAGGTGTATGCATCACGTTCAGTGGCACAGCATTTAATTCGCATCATCCCTGGATTTCAATTTCTGAGATGAGGCGTATCGCACTGTCTCTTATATTGGAGTCGTGTTGCAAAAACAAAACAAAACAAAACAAAAACAAGAAGGCTCGAAGTGAAGTTGGGTAGAAACGGAGGATCTCAAAAAGCTGATTTTCGCCATATTTCACATATCCAATTGGCACAAAACGGTCGTCTGTCACACTTTGCACGAGTACAGTGAAGAGCGAATAGCAATGAAACATCATCAGTTTGATTAAATTAAGGATGGCAGGATGAGAACAAAGCGAATCAAGCGATAAAAAATATAATTCCACCATTTATTAACAAGAAAAAAAGACGTCGCCGGGTTACAACCGTTTTATGAATCAACACAGGTCCACATGCACTCTGATAAAAAATATATCCGTTTCCATGGCAACGATATACTTCCTATGCAGATGCCGGAAGAGTGATCATAATTTTTCAAATGCTTTCTATATTATGATGTTACTCCAGCGATTGGATAGCACGGGCGATCACTGCGCATGACATTTAAGACTGGAGGTGCATGTGATGACGTCATTAATACTACACGATGAGTGCTTCAGTGGTTACCAATTGAATTAAAACCAACGATTATTAACTTGAAATGGAATGGAATAAAGTTTTATCCACTTTGTTATTCAACTTTCATTCCGTCTTCCTTCTTTTTTTTTCTTGAACTATCTTCTTCAAGTTACATTTCACCTTTTTTTTTAAATACTCTTCATTATGTCCCCTTCTCTTTCTTTTTCCACTTGCTTTCCTCCCTTCTTCTTCTTCTTCTTCTTCTTTTTCTTCTTCTTCTTCTTCTTCTCCTTATTCTTTTTCTTCCTCTTCTTGTTCTTCTTCTTGTTGTTGTTGTTGTTTTTCTTCCTCCTCTTCTTCTTCTTCTTCTTCTTCCTCTTAATCATGAAATATAGCGTATAATCAACATTTAAGTTTCTCAATTAACATTATAACGTGATTATAAAACAATTTAGGAGAACCCTTCTCCTCCGTTATTCCTCCTCCTTCTTCCTCTAAATAAAAAAAAATATTATGTCCAATGCCTCGATTTCATTCCCGTTCAAGTCCTTTTATTTTGTTCGGAAGAAATAGAATAAAAATATAATGTTACGTTGAATTTGCTTCAAAAGTTTGTGAGTTAATGATTAAAACTTAATCAATTTTTTGAAAGGCATCTTTCAAAACTGATTTGCTCAATTTGTTATAAATATGAATACAACATTTTCATTCAAAGTACAAGATCTAGCCATTAATTAGTATACGGCCGTCTAAACGTCATCAAACTAGTTGAAAATGAGATGATTTATTGCGAGTTATCATGAAATGTCAATGTTTTGCGGATAATATTGAAAAGGCATCACATGATCAATTCAATAATTAGGCCTATTTTATTGAAGGACACAAAAGCTGTGCGATTTTAAACGCATTTTACGCCTCCAATGCGCAATAAATAAAACAAAAGTTGTCGTTATTAAATATATTATGTGTTCTTTTTTGGGGGTTATTAACCGCCTATCCGCGAATTTACAAAATTATGTATACCTCCTAAAAGGAATTAATTGTACGTGAAATGAAATAAAACGTGAAACTCTTATTCCTCTTCAATCTTTCCACTGGTCAGTTTTAATATCCAAAATGCAATCAAATTACTTGTGAAAAGCAATATCGCAATGTATATGAATGACTGTCTAAATTATTGTCAAAGCTTGGGATAATGGTGGTAAACAACCACTTAATTAATAATTACCCCATGCACTGGTAGCATTTATTATGAAATATCATTAATAAACTCGTAGCCTAACAAAGTCCTAAAATACATTGTACTCTAATCTCCTATATCTACCAGTAAATCATTTTTAAATCAAATAATTGCTGTTCATGAAGGCAGGAGAAAATGCTTAATGTTCTATCAAAATGTTTACGATTATCTAGCAGTCCAGCTATATTTTGTCTCTTTTCAATAAGGCCTTCAAAAGGCATGTTATTGCATTGTTATTAATCTTTACATGGATGATGAATTTTTATGGTCATTCAATTTTGAGGCAACCGAATGCGTTCGCGCCACTCGTTATATTATAAAGGGTAATAAAACGTAAATCAGTTTTCATAAATGGGGTTGGAAATTGTTAAGATTATAGCGATGGAAAATCATTTGAGTACTTTTAATTAGCGATAATTAATATCGAAGGCAGAATAATCGGTTCGTTGTACTTTTCCCTACTAAACAACAACCAATCATGAGTATTGTATTGCACTTTTCTTAACTATTATTAGACGAGTGACTATAATAAATATGTTATGTTTCCTTTTTTCCTTCTTTCTATGATTATCATAAGTATTATTTTATAGTTGTGTTGCTATAAGAATTTAAATGTATTTATTGATTTTTCGGAAACTTCGAGTGTCCGTTCTCACTCTTCGGTATTTGTATGATTTCATTGTATTTCATATTCGACGTGTTTAAACCATTCTTCCCAAGTAGCGGATTCATGAATCAAGTGCTTATTAGTCTGTGATATTTGCGAGAAAAAAATTGTTATAGCGTGCATATTCGTGTGCCAATACATACAGGGCTATACAGAACAAGTACTCTGTGTTGTTGTTTTTTGTTTTGTTTTTGTTTTTTGTTCAATATTATTATTGTGGAGTAAATAGCACTATGAAAATGACGGACAAAGAAAGCGGACAAAATATACAGTTCATCAGGTAGACAAAGGAACATCCCTTCACTGCTATTATGTAAAAATGTGTAGAACAGGTGTCACATGCATATTCACCACACATTTTTACATAATAGCAGTGAAGGGATGTTCCTTTGTCTACCTGAGGAACTGTATATTTTGTCCGCTTTCTTTGTCCGTCATATTCATAGTGTAGGTCTCTAATTTTGTTATGTTCGAGCACCTGATGAGTCAACGAGCAATTCGTCTTTAGCTTGTATTTTCTTTGTTCCGATAGAATTCTATAGTCATTTTGCACATCACTGTCAAGTCATTACATCTGCACATAACGGGATGGTAAGTAGGGATAGTCATCACTCAGTAATTATCTTTTCGAGAAGAAAAACCGACAGATTATCTCGTTCTTCGGTCTGTCGTGAATTAATATTTTAAAATACACGAGAACCATTATACTTTTCATGACCGCATGATTGTGTTTGAAGCACGATTTATGGACGTGAACTTCATATTAATTATTGTAGATTTGTAGATTTGTAGATAAGTTGAGAGTGTGAGAGAGAGAGAGAGGAAGAGAGAGAGAGAGAGAGGGAAAGAGAGAGAGAAAGAGAAAGAGAAAGAGAAAGAGAGAGGAAGAGAAAGAGAGAGAAAGAGAAAGAGAGAGAGAGAAAGAGGGAGAGAAAGAGAGAGAAAGAGAGAGAGAGGGAGAGAAAGAGAGAGAGAAAGAGAGAGAGAGAGAGAGAGAGAGAGAAAGAGAGAGAAAGAGAAAGAGAGAGAGAGAGAGACAAAGAGAGGGAGAGAGAAAGAGAGAGAGAGAGAAAGAGAGAGAAAGAGAGAGAGGGAGAGAGGGAGTAAGAAAGGAAGTGAGACGGTCAGAGAGAAAGAAAGAATGAACCAAAATAGGACTAGAGAGAATTATAGGAAAGAGACGGAGGTTAAAGGAATGAGAATAGACAACGACAGAAGTACATGTAAAAGATTCATGACCATTAGGCGGAAAGATGTATTGAAAACTCGAAGTTAGACAGAAAGAGACAGATAGAGAAAGAGAGGGAAAGAAAGAAAGAAACATACCGATATCAGAGACACACATTGACCCACTTGAGGCCTACGAGTTTATAAAACAAGCGAGAAAAGTAAATAATACTGGCAATATACAAAGTCCTTCTCTTAAATTGCGTCAAATTCTCGCAATACTTTTCCGAACTTTCCCCATTGCCCTGCATACCTATACAAGTCATGTACCAACGCATTTTGAATGATAAGCTTTCTGAGTATGATTTTGATATTGAAAACAAGACAATAGTCAAGGGGGGGTCGAAAAACTGGCGGGATTTTTACTTGCACCATGTAAATAGCATTGCACCATGCACCTTGCTCTCGTAAGCACGCACACACTCATCAGTCTGCAAGAATCTTCAACTGTGAAGGAGGTAGACTTAACCCAAAGAAGAAGAAGAAGAAGAAGAAGGATGTACATACGCAATCACACAGGTTGAGAAATCAGTTATCTCCCAGTATTTCGTCAGCACTAACATTTTAGTATCATTCTTTCCGTTTATCTTTGATAGGGTCTTTTTACACATATTATCACAGGGTTGTTCATACAGTTTGATGAAAAACTTAAAAATAGCGAAATGAAAGTAACAGGAATATTTTCTTATTGCAGTGACTACGTGATGAAATTCGCAATTATCTTTTTATGTTTCCACTGAATTTCATTGGGAAAAAAATAAAAAGGCGTAACTTTGCTACGTTGTAAGTTCGATATGTTGGAAATTTTTGGATTTTGTAGGCAATTCTCCCACCGGATTTCACCATACTTAAGTTTTTGTTTTTTAGTATTTGTTATTGTATTTATTCAATACATGTACATTATACAAATACAAATTATTCCAAATTGCATTACATAACATATAGATTACACAATATACACAACTCAATTATTTTGAATGTATATATCTTATCGTAATAACTCCCCTCCCCAAATTAAAACACAAAACAATGACAAAGCCTTAACTTTTTATTTAAAAAAACGGGAGGAAAAGTGTAGGAAACGATATTGCTTTGATTGCTCTCATCTTTTCTTTTTTCCCCTCTCCAATTAGGTTTGGCCAACGAAGGGAAAGGTGGGAGCACCTAAAAATTAGAAAATGATTAAAAGTTTGTCGAATACATTTATCATTTTCTGTCGTCGAGTATAATCCTGATCTACCTTTAAAGTAATTATATACCAACAAAAATTGGTAAAAGAGAATTTTGTATAATATGTAAAAATGATTGTGCCCGTAGAGATTGACTTTGTAAAAATATAGAAGGAAAGATTAAAGTTTGCTGAATCCATATTTGAAGTCTTTCTGCCGTGAAAAGGCGGGTTGTGAAAAAGGTGATACCCGATTTGAAAAATGATCATCACAAATTCTGGATCAATATTTGCTTTTAACATATCAGTCATGTCAGTATTGATGTAAAACATGCTATTTGCAATTTGTTACCCCCCCCCCCCCCCTTCGATTAATAGCGGTGATATCGTATATTAGGCGATTCGTAAATAGATGGGACTACATTTTCGTCTTCTGGGCTTCACGTTGTAAACTCAGTCACACTGACGACACCGAAACCAGGCCGATAACGGCTACAGCCTGCATGAGACCGACATATCACAACATGTATAACCCCACGAGAGCGACATCGTCTCTGGCATGAGCCCAGAGTATGGCAACTTTTATGAAAGTTCGCAATATACTACGAGATCGACAACCTACAAGATCGGCCTTTCCTATGTATACAAAAACTATACATATCCTTATTTGTTTCTTTGTTTCATCGGTCTCCTGGACTTTTTGTGAATTTCTGCTGTTCTGTATTGTCTTTGTTGTATCGGTCTCATGGGCTATCAGTCTAGTGGTTTGTCGGTCTCATGCGTTTAATACCGGTCTCACATTAATTTTGGTCAATGTCGGTCTCGCGGACTATCGGTCTACAATTCAATTGTGGTGGTGGTTATTTTACCTGACTGCTAAGAAATGCTAGTAAGTAAGCAACCAGACGGCCGGCGGCCTTAGGTCCTCTCTGAGGGAACTGGTAATGGGGATTAATGCCTTACCAAAGGGCATCAGCGCATCGACTTGGTTTTGAACCCGGGTCACCGGATTACGAGACCACTGCTCTACCAACTGAGCAATCCCTATAATTATATGCGGCTTGGCGGTGTGTCGGTGGTATTTCTTACTAATCAAATACAAGCACGATCTCTTTTTGCGAATGACATTAAAAGGTAGGTTACGATGAAGTGAGAATGTGTAATTAATTAAGGATTGCAGTCACCCCTTGTTTGGGAATAAAGAATGATAATGGATCACTAATGGATTTTTCTAGGACAGCGATTATTTTGGACAGCCCGTATATGCGATGAGGGATATGACACTGATAAGGGTGTCGTGTTTCTTATTCTGAGGAGGTTCGGGTGAGCTAACGCCTTCTGGGAATTGGAATTATTAGACTTTTATTCCAAGAACGGGAAGGCAGTATTTACAACAGTCTTTCACTAGCATAATGACAAAATGATACAAAATAAATATAACTAAAAAATGGGCATAAGCAGGAGCGATCGACGGTGGTATATACGGCGGGGGGGGGGGGGGGGGGGGGGGGTATGGGGCCCTCCCCTATCGAATAGCAAAAATAATGCAGGTAAAGAGAAGAGCGAGAGAAACATACATAGTAAGAGAGAGAGAGAGAGAGAGAGAGAGAGAGAGAGAGAGGGGAGAGCAAGTGATAGAAAGATAGAGAAATAAAGAAGAAGAGGGTGAACGATAGACAGTGAGGGGGATGGGGAGAGGGGAAGGGAGAGGGAGAGAGAGAGAGAGAGAGAGAGAGAGAGGGAGAGAGGGGGATGGGATAAATGTTGAAAGAGAACAAGGTAAGAAAATGTTCCCTTATACAATGAGAAAGTGATGTCCCTTCCCCCAAGACCCTCAAAATCCAGTCGCTTCGCTTTCTCGCGATCCTCAGTACAATATTATCCCACGCTATACCGATTCTACGAATTGGAGTACGGTAGCTTGGTGGTGTTTACTACGCGCTACGACAATGAAACCATCTCCAGCGCAGAAACGGAGGAATTTTAAAAAGTGGGATGGATCAGAAATTTAGCAGCAGAGCTCTTAAATTATTTTCTATAAGAGTTAACCGCGGACAGATCAACAACGGCGTCAAGCACTCTCAGTAAAAAAAAAAATAGAAGTAGTTAATAATGAAATGAATCGAATTTCGAAGTAGTCGGGTTAAAACATAACGGGGTCAATCCCGCTTTAAAGCTCATTTAGATTATCGTTCATAATGACTAAATGTATGCTTCTTTTAAATGGAGTTTTTTTTTCTTCTTTGCAATGAATCGTTTCTGAGCAATTTATTATTCTTGCTTGTGCATCAGTTGCTTAAATGTATTACATAATTATGATCTTGGGGAAGGGGTTTTTGCAATAAGTCATACAACATTATTACCACTTAAAGGTAAAGACCAGTATTGGAAACGCCCCAATTTCAAAAAATGAAATGGAAGCTCTCATTACCAATCATGTGAAAGAATATGTTTTGACTAATACATGATGATCACACATTTGCCGGGAAACCGCCTACTAATTCATATATTTGGTAAATTTGTTTCTCTCATGGTCTGTGAGAGATATAGGGTAGTCCCATATACATCTTTCTGTGTATAGTGCTTGTAACTTTACGAAGAATGGGCCAAATTTCTTATCATTTTGATGATTCCAGAACCTTGCAGATGCTAGATGCTAGATGATCAACCTTTTCTGATCGATTCCACAACGTTTCTTTCACAATGCAATCGCATGACCATAACTGGTCTTTACCTTTAATAAGATTTACCTTTTAAAATTGATCCACGAATGTAATGAAAGTTCTATTATCTTATGATTGTGTTAATAACCCCAACCACCGTAATTATCACGTGCATGCATTGCGCAATGTTTACAAACTATGAATTCTATAAATAGCAAGATCGTGGAGTTCGTGCGCTCCATGCGATTGAGTGAGAAGTTGAGTTTAATCAAAACGACGGTATGTGCACAAAAGCATCAAATGAGGAACGATAACAAACAACACAACAAAAACCCAAATGTCATTTTTAAGATGCCATAACAACATTAATTTTCTTCATATTCAAGTTGCCCTTTTCTAAACTTTCGCCGGGGAGAAGAGGCGGGGTGGGCTCGATTATCTGAGACATCATAGCAACTTAACTTTTATTCATGAAGAAATAATTTTATAATTGAAAAAAATCTCTCACCAGCAAAATAAAAAAGTGAACCAAGGCAACAAAATATAACAAGAAAACATACAAACAAAACATAATTATCATATTTTATATCCGCCCGTTAAATAACATTTTTCTGGAAGGGGATGGGGTGCGTGGTTGCACGCAAGGTATGCCTGATTTGGCTTTGTCGACCATAAGAGAAGGAGGGGGACGTGCCCCCTCTCCCCACCCCTTCTGCTCGATTCGCCACAGCCATATGCACAAGGTCTATATCAACGACATCAATTTCTAGGATATTGTCGGCTCGTCGAAAATCAGACTCAGGGTCTGAATTTCGAGACTACCCCTTACGAAACATTACTGTGATTAATAGTCGTGTTTGTCAATGGCGACAAAGGGTAACATGCACCACTCCTCATGTGTCACGTAATAAACAATGGGGTTAGCCCACTAGTTCAGTGGCCCGAGGGTTGTGGCCTGACCACGAGATCAATACCTTTGTTTTCTTAAAATATTGCGCAATACTGGGGAAATAATCATCATCGTGTGATTACTATAGTTTGTTATTGTTTGATTAATGATGAACGCAACAAACAATGGGGCTATTGTGTGTGTGTGAGAGAGAGAGAGAGAGAGAGGGGGGGGGGGGGGAAAGGCATTTTCTCCCTGGGCTTGTCTCTTGAAAATCTATATTAGGGGCACCAGGGGCGCTTCTCCTATTATTGTCATAAAGTGCCCGCGGGAGGGGGGAGATCGAAAAATTTATCCCGGAAAAATTGGTTCTGTTTTCTAGACTTCCTTTTTTATTTGTCTTGCTCATAATTATCTCCCCTCCCCCCCCCCCATTTCTTCGTGACTCTGTACCCAGTTTGGGGGGGGGGGGGTTCTGCTGTTTGGGCCCTGGATCCGGCTTTAACTCTTTGCCTGACTAAACAAGTAATTCGTAACATATATTCTTCTGCTAGCCCGTTTTTCCCCCTCAAATTTCATATTTCAATAGACGACGTGCATGCAAGGCTAAAGAAAGGGCCGTAGGTTTGATTTCTCGAAAGTCCTTACGATCGTTTTGGTGCTGACCACGGTCAGACGCTCAGCCACAGGAGATCCTGCAGTTCGTTAACAATTAAACAAATCAAGATAAAATAAGGGGAACCCAAAGGGGACCTACCTTTCTCTTGCAGCTAAGTGATCCTGAACCAGTTACCCTCGGCCTCACGAGCAAAACATATTCTGTCACATTTTAATGATATCATTACTTTCTTTTCTTTACTTACCGGTAATGCTTTTATATTTTATTTAACTCTGGCAATCTCTAAATATTCTCTGGCACTATCTTGATTATTGTGCATTATCAAAATAAGGGACTTCCCGCTCGCGCTCTAGATATTAAAGACTCGAATGTGGGAGCTGCATGGTTACAAATAGCTACTAGTAATCGGGAATTCCCCTTGTGCATGCAGGGGATTTCTCGCTCGTTCTAGATCTCGCACTATACAATGCGCGCGTACACTAATATATAAATAGTGTGTCACTAGCACTATAAATAGTGTGTCGTTGTAGTAAAACTAGTCATTCGATTTTGAACCTTGCATGTGTGACGTCTAAGTTGAAATCCCAACTGTTTATTATTTCGAAATTATATAGATATATAGAGAAGTCGGATGCCCTAGAAGTCTTGGCTTAATCAATAACCGGAATTTACTTGCATTTTCGTCTCACTTCATAGTATTACACAACCATGGCTCAAAATACTCGCCGTATTTCGGATGACGCTCAAGGAACAGAGGAGCATATCTGTCAATGCGGACACGATAAATATCGCCGCCAGAGCTCCTCGCATTCATCGACTCGAGTATTCGCTGGAGTATCTAGCCCACCGGCCATGCGTTCAGATTCATCGGAAAGTCAGGTAAAACTCGAAGCATTTATGTTGGCGACCATGTTGCAATATAAGTTTCAAAAAAGGCCGTTCTGCGTTAGTTCTATCTACGGAGTGAACTACTCTGATCTTCTATCCGAGTGCTACTGCTTGTTGTTGAATTGGCTAATTTTGTCCATTTTATTTTTTCAAGAAAGTTGTAATAATTGTCTACTATTTTCTAGACTAGAGAATGAAAGATTGCCCATGCAAGGGTCATGTTCATAATTTGCCAGCATTTGGTATTAGTTGTAACAAGAATACTAGTTGAATATGCTATGATGCAGATTTTCTGTTTTTCTTCAATTTAATTGACAGTAGAATTTATTCAGATTTAATAAGGTTTCATTTCATTTCATTTCATTTTCTAAAGGAGAGTGATGTCCAAGGTGATAGTGGAGGAGATGCTCGTAGGCAGATCATCCAACTGCAACAGGAGCTGAAAGATGCTGTCCAAAAACTCAAAGAAGTCACCAAGATGAACAGTAGGTGGCAAAAATACGATAAGGAGAGGGAGGTCATAGTTGTCAACCTCACTTCACAATCCAAACAAGCGGAGGGCAAAGTCAGGGAGCTGACGGAGAAAATTCGGCGTTTAGAGACGAAGCTTGCTGATCAGCGGAACAGGAGCGAGGAGTTGGAGTTGAGGTGGACGGATGCTCGAGTGCGGGCCGCCGAGCGAAAGTCAGAAGTGGAGAGGGTACAGCGGGAGCGTGAGGCTGTCAAGGTCACCCTGAAGCAATCAGAGAAGAAGCGACAGGAGATGGCTAAGAAACTGGAGGCAGCCATGAAGCAAGGTGGAGGGTGCAGAGAGCGAGAGGAGGAGGAGGATGAGAGGAGGAGGGATGCCGATAAGGACAGAGACTTGTATCATATGAGCAAGAGAGTGGTAGACCTCAAAGAGAGAGTGGACATTCTAGAAAAGCAGGCAGCCAGTCATAAAACGGAGATTGACCAACAAGCAGACCTCTACACTCAACAGGTAAAGCTCCCTCTATGTTAATAGTTTTTAGGGTACCTATCTCCTCATCAAGTTTTGCTTATAATTTTTTTCCTCTAGAAGATACATTTTAAAGATACACAATAAACTGAAGGACCAAGAAAAGAAGTTGAAGTTTAAGTCGACTTTCTTTTTGAAGACTGTAGGATCCTTAGAACGACAAGCTCAAGTTCAAAACCTTTGAATAAAATGTCAAGTTATGTCTCCAATAATAGTTCTAGGGTAGGATCCACTTGATAACTCAACTTACGGAAACATGTTTTTATTTTGAACAGATTTCAATTTGCCTTGATGATTTCAAACACGAGAAGAAAGACAGAGAACAAAGCCAGAAAGAGACTGCTGACCTTAAAAAACAACTGAAGAAAGCCGAGGATTTTGCCAGCTCTCTCAAAGTTCAGGTAAATGTTTCCCCCCTCTTGTATTGCCATCTGGACTCTCGACAAACATTCACCACACTCAATGATTTTGTAGATATAGACATGGAAAAATTTATTAATTATGTTTATTTCTGTAAAGACTTCTGTAATGTCTGTTTTGTTTATAATTTGAAAAAACTTCAAATCATTTTAAAAATCATGAAATATAATGTTATATAATTTATTTCTTAATCCGTTTCTATGATTAAGTAAAAAAAGAAATTCATTTCTAAAAAGTATATACAATCTACTGTTGCTATTTTGTATTCCTTATGTATATGAATCTAAATCTATCTGTTTCTTTTTTTTCTTCCAATTAGATCACGAGATATCAGGACCAACAAAAGCCTAGGGCTCCAAGATACGTCAAACCAGCAACGCAACATGTTCAGAAATATTATGCCAACATGTATGACGAGGTAATTACCAGTAGTTCTTAAATGCAGCAAGGAACACCTTATACACTTTCACTGGACAATGCACAAGATTATTTTGGGGTTAAGGGAACAGTTAATCTAACCGTGTGCAATGGAACTTATGTTAGGTCTGAGAAACGAGGTGGTGAGAGAGTAGGTAATTAAGATGGGTCAATATCAAAGATGTATAAGGTATTTCAAGTGATGCAAATATGGTATTGCTTGAAATAAAAAAAGCACCCCAACACAAAGTTAAACCAATTCTATGGAATAATACATGCAGTCACATGTGAGAGTGTCTACTTTAATTTAAGCAATACTGTATGCGAACCGTATTTCGTTTACATTTACATTGATTTTCATTGATTCTCATTCCCTCTCTCTCTTCTTTGCTCATTCTCTTTTTTCAGAATTTAGGCTCTTGGGATGATGCTGACTATGCCCTCCCAAGTGACGTAGTCCGTGACCAAGCGGAGGTCGTGACCCCGGCGGGCCGACGACGCCCCCAAACAGCATCTCTTGTGGATCTGCCCCCTCATTACGATGATCGCTCTATATTGGGACACGTCATTACTTCTCCTCCGAAAACATATCAGATTGGAACAATAGCAGCGGCCCAGACGCAGAGGGTCGAGGAATTAGTATGTCATTGATCTGGAGATCCAATATGAGTAATATTACCTTCTATTTATTTATTTGTTAACATGTATGAACTAACTTCTCAGGGGTCACAAGTGTCGCAACCATTTCAGGGCGTGATATAAAATTTACTTTTTAGGGTAATTTAAAAGAAATAGTCAATTTCGATGGCCATTGAAAACATAATGTTTTGTAGTTGATATCAATATATGCCAACTTCAAATGGAATCATACCAATGCAGAAAATTGAATGTACCTAAAAAGACTTTACAAAAATTATGAACAGGCTTGATCTATAGATTCAAATAAATGAAAAAGAGATCACTTCTATTCTTTTTCATCATATTCCAATAGTCACTTTTGAAACAACTGGGAAAAATTTCTCATACCGGTACACAATCTGGGGCTGAAGTACAAAGCGATTATGCATTTGATGAAAATAATCACTCTCCACCTTGGTTTTATATATATATATCTATTTATGATCTTGTTGCACAAGATCTGTTATACAGCAGTACTAGAAAAACTTGAAGGCATCATTTGTATATTTTTAATCGTTTGTACACAAGCACTCATGTGAGTAGATTAAAAAGTTATTTTCCTCATGTTTGTCAATTTTTTAAGACATGTAGCACCTTTCCTAAAATATTTGGCTTTTAGTTTTCCAGTTTTCAGAAGCCAGGTTTGGTTTAATTGTATATCTCCTTTGGAACAGTATTTTTTTTTAAAACCTCCAAAAGTAATGCCCTCTTCAAGGAAAAAGGACAAATTACATTAGAAATTGAAATGTTTTATATTATGTTCTAAAATGGATACATTTGTTATTTTATAATAATCTTGTTTATTTAGAAGCTGATATTCCATTGTAATGTCGCATTAAAAAATGAAGAGCTTTTCCATTTCTCATCTCTAACCATGAATATAACGCCTTTAACAAAATATGTTTAAACATGATATAGGAAGAATCAAATACCTGTTAAGGAAGTTTAACAAAAAAATATAAATGATTGCTAGATTTAAACAAGATATTTACCTTTTACAATGTGTTTAATTTATTTAATGGGAACTAACTTGTGTCTGTATTTTGTATTCAATCGACTGACAGTCTTCCCAATATTGGCGATACTATTGTAAAAACTAAGTTTAGTTTTTATTAATAAAACTTACGTGCAATAAGTTTGACACTTGAGTATCAACACTACTACTAATGTTTTTCATGTCTTTTATTGTAAGCAGTGATGCTCATTTCGTTTTAGTAATATTCGGGAATAAGTGCATTTCAATCTGTTACTAGATAGACATGCAAAGCTCTGCTCTGTCAATGTCTGTATTTAATTTTGTTTAAACTTTACATTTACAAAAAATTCTTACTGATGGATATGTCTTTATCACGATCTTATCATTCACTGTAACAATTGACTCTGTCTTGATTTGTTCAGTATTGGTATTTGGAAAAAATAGTTGAAAGATACAACTGTCATTATCGATGTACTCTGTCATGTTGAATTTACTCTTTTTATGCTATTTTGAAATTGAAATATATCAGGTATTTTGTACACATAATTAAATTGAGTTTGTTTTGACTTTTAATGTTCAATGTTTTTTACAGTTTTGAAGAAAATGTTCTTGATGAACGAAAATACTTGTTGTTTGGTATAAGTGCATATATTAATTGTTGTTTCATAAAGTGGAATAAGCCTTTGTCTTCCCATTTTCTTATGTATTGACTGCATAAACATGTCCTACTACTTTGTGGAGCTTTCCAGTTTCTGCCAGGCACATTTCTTGAAGAAATGGGTGCTTGGATTTTTTCAATACTGACTTTGACCAAATTGGTTATTATAAAAACACTTCACCATGTGAACCACTTAGCAGTAAAGTACACATGTACTTATTTATAAGATGAATTGTTGAAACAAGTGCTAGCCACTTTATAAGTTTGTCTCCTGTGGAGGAAGTATTTACATGTATATTTATAAAACTTGTGCCAAATAGGAAGAAAAAGAAAGAAAAGAAAGAAAAAAAGGTGATATAAACAGAAAACTTATTAAAAATAAAAAACTTACAACATAATTTTGAACATCATTGTGTCTTGTATTTATTTGCGGTATTCCCCTTCTATCTAGCCGATCTGTCTTTCAACATTTTTCTCATTCACTCTTTCATACATGTTCATCACAACAACAAAATTCCCCTCTCACTTTGTTTCCTTGTGTGATTTGGTAGGGCTGTTAACATAGTTCTGGCGTAAAATTGTGGTAGTGCATGCAAGGAACGCTGACAAGAAAATTAGATGGAAATATAATAATATTTACATTTTTCAGTCCTTCCCCCTCCCAGTTATGCAATGTTCGCAAAATAGTCCGATTCTTATAATAAGGGTATGCAAACAAAGACTAGTCGTACTTATGATTCATTCAGCCCTGACCGTGCGTTACGAGAGCTATCGCGCGCCCACACAATAGAACAAGAGGTCGGTGCGTGGTACCGACGCTGACGCGACGCACACATAGTAAAATGACGGAATGTTCTATATTTAGCACAGTGTAATTTCCCGGTCGGGGATTTATGTACATTGGGAAGTCCTTGTAATTATTACGTGATTCAATGCGAGAAAAAAAGGGATTTTCCGTGAGTGAGTATAGCGTACTTTGCCGGTACTTTGCACGGGTCATGGCTTTCGTCCGCAAATATTAAATGAATTAGATCAGAGTGAACAACATGATATTGCGCAATACTGATTCGTTAAAACCCTACCCCTTCAAAAATAGAAATTCGCGAAACGAAATCTGAAGAAAATATTATAATAGAAAGATAGAAAGAAAGAAATGATGAAAAAGAAACTTCAACTACGAAAGAAATAATTCTCGTTGATTTTTCTAGTAGGCCTATAGCGTATTAAAGTTTCAATCTTCGTTTTCATGAAGCCCCCTATATCAAAAGCCTTTGGATGATTTTGTTGTTGTTGGTTTAATTAATATATTTGTTTCATTTTCGTTTGTGACAGGAAAATAAAACAACTGTATTACGCGACGCCCCTGCTCTGATAACATGTTCGGTTCAAAATGTCTCTTTTCTCTCCGATTCATATCTCAACCCCCACCTCCCCCTCCCTGAGTTTCTTCCCCACCTCCCCCCCCCCCCCTCCCTCTCTATTCCCCACATATTCTCCTCTATTATACCTCCCCCCCCCCCCTTTTCTCTCCTATCTCTCTCTCTCTCTCTCTCTCTCAATTAAATTGAATTAAATTTTGTTTCTGTTTTCAAGAAAAAATATTTAAAATCAATTATAATCATTTACAACAATGATCTCTCTCTCTCTCTCCCTCTCTCTCTCTCTCTCTCTCTCTCTCTCTATCCTTTGCAGACATTATGACATCATGACACGAGAACTTTATCCGCCTTGAGTAATACGATACGACAAAAGTCGTGAAAGTAATAATTATTCATATCTCAGCTGGAATATAAAAATAGCACCAACATAATTATTACCAATGACCACTCCGTGCACGGTGTTCCGTAATTTTTATTCTATATAAATCCTGTTCTGAGTTGGCCTAGACTTAGGCAGTTTCCTTCCCTTTTTAACTTTCACTTGAAATACATTAGTCATAATTATTATCATCAATGAATTCAGTATTCAATAATTTCTTTTGCCTTACAGGCTATAAAGACATAATGGGAAATGATGTCACTTAATTATACAAGTCGTGTTTCCACCATATTTATCTCATTTCATCATTTTACATTCGGTTTCATGTCTTATCTCTTCTTTGACTTACTGACTCAGCACAGTATTCAATTACTAACAAAATATATATTTATATGCTCTAGTTTCTCTTTTTAATGTTATGGTGTAGTGTTTGCTTCATTAGCGGCGATAGCCCGATCTAAAAATAGGGATTAAAAAAAGTATTTATTCTGGATCACATTACTTTTCGTCACTAGGAGAGGAGCCATGAGCAAAGCTATTTATACACACAATTACCAACCATTAACATAATTAACAGTTTATATAATATTCATTTATATTCACTTAATGACACATACATTTGCGTTAGATCGTCATTAACACGGTAGAAATGAATCATGTTATTCTTTTATAACTCACATTTAAGCTTAAATATAGACCTTGGCCCCGTTGCATCAAACTTACCAGTGATGGTATGTTTGTTTGTTTGTTTTTATATTCAAAATCCATATATACATACAAGTTTAAAAACCATATACAATATAAAGCAATTTTCAAATGATGGGAAAGTAAGTAAATGTGTAAAGTATAGAAAAACGGAAATTGGATAGCCCGTGGTAACTTTGCCATTGGCTGTTGATTGGCTGTTGAATGAAACGGGGCCCTGTTAACTAATGCATTTCCATTTATGCATGTTTTTTTTTCCTGAACCCTTAGTTATAACTATCAATTTTAATTGGCGTGTCATTCAAAATGCCGGTATGTAATTCTCTAAATATAGATATAATATATTTTGCATATTATTTTTTGCTATATCTGGCAAGCCTCTGGCAAGCTTTTCAGTCGTGGAGAGCAACTTTTATTCAAGAAGTATGCATAGAATCAGTAAAAAGGTCTGTTATAGACTTCTGCACTAATAAATAATTTATAAATTTAATACTCTTCTGAAATACCCTCCAAGATGAACATTGGTAAATCTTGAAGGTTAGTGGCGTCATTTGGGGGAATTTAACGCAACAATCAAATCTTTGTATTATATACCACACATTCCTGTGGGCAAACAAATGCTTTATTATGTATGCATTGAAATTTCAAACGTTTTCAAGAACTAGGGGCGACAACCTAAGTGCAAACAAACGGCGACACACTGGAGTCACCACTGTATTCAATAAACCACAGACACTAAACCTTAGTCAACCCAAGGAATTATCCCCTGAAGTATTGCGACACCTCCTACCAGTACCATGGTCCGCGCGAGGGTGGGTCTCTACTGAGAAATTATGTGTGTGTGGGTGGGCGGGGGGGGGGGGGGGGGGGGGGGGGGGGGGGGGGGGGAAGGGGGGGGGGGGGAGGTAAAAGGGAAAAAAAGGATGAAAAGAGGGAAATTTGGGGAATTATTATATCAGACTAAAACCGAGGAGAACGACGTCGTGGGCCTTGTGGGCCTTTTGAAACGTTATTTGAGGGTTCATAACATAAGATCGAACATCTTTTAATAGGGTTCACACACAGAAAAAAAACCGAACCCCCCCCCCCCACACACACAAAAAACAACAGCACCAACAAACAAAGCAATAGAAAAAAAGTTTACGGTCTACTAGTACTAGATACCCCCATGTTATCGTCCTATACTCCTTCCCAAAGTCACCCTGAAAGTATAACGGACTCCTCCCCTCAGCGATATTGGTCACAAGCAGGGGCGGTTCCAGCATGTTAACAAATTTACAATGAAAAAGAAAGTCGCCAGAATTTATTTTATTTATTTTTTTAATTTTATTTATTATCTATTCATTTATATTTTTATTAAGTTATCTATATATTCATTTTATTCAATTATCGATCAAATATTGATATGTAGATAAATAGATTGATTACTTAGTTTAGTAAGGATTGCATTAAATAGATCATTTGACTTAATATGCCTTTATTATTATAATAGTTAAAAACGAATGCAAACACAATTCTAAAGGCTCTTCGTGAGTCATTTTGCACTATATATGTTACCAATTGACAACGCCTTTTAACAAGATTGACACACAGGGTGCTCATTTTTTGTCTTCATTACTTCGACCTGAACAACACTCCGATTATGTTATATTTATGATCTCATGATTTCTCTTTTGCATCTTTTTGTATTTAATTATACATATCTTATGTCAATTATCTATATTTGTGTTTAGTTATGTATTATGCTATCAACTAATGAGGAGAGCCTCCTACAGAAATTCAGTTTCTTTTGGTAATCCTCAAGTATTATAGTTGATGGCCTTTTTCCTGCTGTTGTATTCATTATTGTAATTCATTTTCCTGTATCCTTTGTTATTGTTATACTCTTTTATATTCCTGTAAATGAAATAAAATTAAAATTAAACATATTATTTTATATTTTCCAGCGGAAATCCGACCGCCTGTTCTTAGCCTCTGTTGTCTTTTGTTGTGTGTGTGTGTGTGTGTGTGCGTGTCACCGGATCATGTGGTATACATTACGTATAAACCATCAATAATGGGTGCTTGAAAGATCAAGTTCAACTTTATCTAGGTTTAAAAAGCTTTGCCGTAATTATTTATAGAATAATTCATTTTTGTGGTAACTGATATCAGACAAAAACACTTATGTGTTTGTATGTGTGCGTGGGTGTTTGTTTTATTTGTGTAATTTAGTTCCTATTATTGATTAATTTGACTCTGCATTTACTTGGTATTTGTTATCTGTTTAGCATTTGCTGTTCCAATGGATCATTTCATACTCCATACTGAATTTGTATCAATGTTTCTATGTTTTTATGGTTATAGTTAAATAAAATATATTGAATCTTGATTTTGAATGAAAAAATACTCTTCTTTTCAAATTATCGACCCTATACAGGCTCTTAACAAAATTATCATATTACATTGTGTTTATGTTTAGATATTCTTTTGTGTGTGAATTATTACCTAAAATATTATTCTGACATCGAGTTCCACTTATGAACAGCTCAATGAATTTTGCTATTTCTGTATTTATAATTATGTAAGCCTATATTCTAAAGAGAAGGAAGTTTGATATTAGGGTCAGGGAAAAACCGGGTTCTTTCCCCCACAGCTTGACAAGGGATATAACTCGTTTTAATCAATCTATTCCTAATTCGTAGTGCGTGCCTCTGATCTTGCCCAAAATAATGGTCGCAGTGTTTGCTACATGTTCCATAATTGGATACACAACACTTACAGGCCAGACATAAAT